ACCGGTACCGCCGCCGGTCCCGCTCTCGCGGTCGACGGCAGCAGCCGCAGCAGCTGCAACAGCCACAGCAACAGCAACAGAAGCAGCTGTGCTTCTTCCACCGCCGCTTCGGTGCAGCGGCCAGGAAATGCGCCGAGCCGTGCTCCTGGTCGCCGTTAAACGAGACGGCCTAGGGACATCGGCGCCGTCCCCGGGCCGGGCATCGCCGGCGCCGCTCCTGCACGTGACGACCGGCCAGCTCACCATGATGGTGGACACTGGAGCTCAGATCAGTGTCCTGCCTCCGAGCCAGCTCCCGCCGGCCTGCAGCTTGGACGCGGCCGCCGCGCCCCGCCTGACCGCCGCCAACGGCAGCACCATCCGCACGCACGGGTACGCCGACCACGCAGTGGTGCTCTCCGGCCGGCCCTACCAGTGGCGCTTCCTGGTGGCTGACGTCACGTCACCGATACTCGGAGCCGACTTTCTCGGACACTACCGGCTCTCCGTCGACATGGGACGGCGTGTCCTGCGCTCTCCCACCGGCGAGCCGTGCGCCACCGGCGTTCTGACCACGGCTGCGTCGCCCGCCGCCCCACCGGGCGTGCTGGGCCTCTCCGACGACCCGTTCGGCGAGCTGTGGGCCGAATTCCCGGCCGTGACCAGCCGCTCACCTGGCGTGCGCACCGTCACTCACCACGTGACTCATCACATCCGGACCACGGGTCCGCCCTGCTTCAGCCGCCCTCGTCGCCTTGCTCCCGACCGTCTCGCCGCAGCCCGCCAGGAATTCGACCGCATGCTAGCTGCTGGCGTCGTCCGACCGTCGGACAGCAACTGGGCCTCGCCTCTGCACCTCGTCAAAAAGTCATCACCGGGCGAGTGGCGAGCATGCGGCGACTACCGTGCGCTCAACAAAGCGACGGTCCCGGACAGGTATCCGATTCCGTACCTAATGGACTTCACGGCGCACCTCCACGGGTGCTGCTACTTCTCCAAGCTGGACCTGGCACGGGCGTTTCATCAAATCCCGGTGGAGCCTGCTGACGTTCAAAAGACGGCTATCTCGACCCCCTTCGGCCTGTTCGAGGCGGTGTCGATGCCGTTCGGTCTCCGTAACGCGGCGCAGACCTGTCAACGCTTCATGGACGAGGTCACGCGCGGCCTGCCCTTCTGCTTCGTCTACATCGACGACATTCTGGTGGCCAGCGCCACTCTCTCGGAGCACCGCGCGCACCTCCGCCAGGTCTTCCAGCGCCTCAGTGACCATGGCGTGGTCCTGAACGCGCAGAAGTGCGTCCTGGGAGCCCCCAGGGTCCGGTTCCTCGGCCATGACGTGTCAGCGAGTGGAATCGCGCCGCTACAGGACCGCGTGGACGCCATCACCGAGTTCCCGCGGCCTACCACCGAGAAGCAGCTGCGCAGGTTCATCGGAATGGCGGCATACTACCACCGCTTCATTCCAGATGCCGCAGCTCTGCTCCGTCCGCTCCACCAGCTGCTGACAAAGCAGCCAGGCTCCAAGAGCAAGAAACTGCTGACATGGACGGACTCTGCTGCGGACGCGTTCGCACGCGTTAAGGGCGCGCTCGCCGCTGCTGCGACGCTGGCTCACCCGGTCCCGGCCGCGCCGCTGGCGCTGCACGTGGACGCATCGGACAGCGGGGTCGGCGCGGTGCTACAGCAGCACCATGACGGCACGTGGCAGCCTCTGGCGTTCTTCTCCCGGTCTCTGACGCCGCGTGAGGCCCGCTACAGCACGTTCGGACGGGAACTGCTGGCAGTGTATCTCGCTCTGCGCCACTTCCGCTACGCAGTGGAGGGCCGCGAGCTGATCATCTACACTGACCACAAGCCCCTGGTCCACGCTGTCGGCTCCAGCACTGACCGGCACTCGCCTCGTGAGATGCGACAGCTGGACTACGTGGCCCAGTTCTCCACGGACATCCGTCACGTCCCCGGACGGGACAATCTGGTCGCGGACGCACTCTCCCGCACCGTCTCCATGCTGCTCGTCCCCCAGCCGCCGCTGGACGACTTCGACGCCATGGCAGACGCGCAGCGAGAGGACCCGACGTTGGACACGTTCCGGTCCTCTAACCACTCTCTCCGCCTCCGAGACGCCAAGCTCGCCTCTGGAAAGACGCTGCTCGTGGACGACTCCACCGGCATGCCCCGGCCGTGGGTGCCCACTGCCCTCCGCCGGCACGTGTTCCGACTGATGCACGACCTGTCCCACCCGGGCATCAAAGCCACCACCGAGCTGGTCACGGCTCGCTTCGTCTGGCCGCAGATGAAGAAGGACCTGCACACATGGACCCGCTCCTGCGTCCGCTGTCAGCGAGCCAAGGTTCAGCAGCACACCAAGGCTCCTGTGACCCCGTTCCGACCGCCGGACGAGCGATTCAGCGCGGTGCACATCGACCTGGTGGGGCCGCTGCCGCCGTCCGACGGCTACACGCACCTGCTGACGTGCGTGGACCGCTACACCCGCTGGGTAGAGGTGGTCCCGCTGCGCGACACGCGCGCGGCAGCTGTCGCCCGCGCCTTCGTCAGCACCTGGGTGGCCCGGTTCGGCGTGCCTGACCACGTCACCACCGACCGCGGCTCGCAATTCGAGTCGGCACTGTGGGCCGAAATGTCAGCGCTGCTCGGCTGCGAGCGCCGCCGCACCACCAGCTATCACCCGGCGTGCAACGGCCTGATCGAGCGCGTTCACCGACAGCTCAAGTCGGCGCTCCGTGCCTGCGGCCGCACCACCTGGTCCGACGCGCTGCCGCTCGTCCTCCTTGGCATGCGCACGGCGCTGAAGACGGACCTCGGGTGCTCAGCGGCCCAGCTGGTTTACGGCACCACGCTGCGCCTGCCCGGCCAGTTCCTGGAGCGCTCCGCCACTGCCGCTCCGACGCCGGACTCCTACGCGGACGGCCTCCGCCGGGCGCTGAACCAGCTGCGGCCCACGCCGCCGCGTCCGGGCAGCTCAGCGGCTCGCGTCCCGCGCGCTCTTCAGGACGCCACACACGTGTTCCTGCGCCGTGACGCCACGAAGCCGCCTCTCGCCTGCCGCTACGACGGTCCGTTCCGAGTCGTCGCTCGCTCGGACAAGACGCTGACGCTCGACCTCGGCCGCCGCCAGGACGTAGTCTCGGTCGACCGTGTCAAACCGGCTCACCTCGACCCAGCGGATGGAGACTGCCACAGCGAGCAGCGCCGGCCACGGCCACGCTCCCCGTCTACTGGAGTGACTCCTGGCCGGCCCGCGCCCGCGCAGCCGCTCCTCGGTCCGCGTCCGCTGATGCCGGTGCGCGACCCGTCTGCTGGTCGGCCGCCGCCTGTGACGCCTACCGGGACGCCCGTGCCGTCTACCGCGCTGCCCGTGCCGCCTACTGTGCCGCCTACCGCGCCGCCCGTGACGCCTACCCTGCCCTCCGTGCCGCCTGTGCCGCCCGTGACTCCTGCCGCGCCGCCCGAGGGTCAGCCGCCCCTCCCGGCGCGTGCCCCCCGACCGCCGTCGGCGCCCAGCTCTGTGCCGGCGCCGCGTTCGATTTTGAAGACTCGATCTGGACGGGAGGTCCAACGACCCGCTCGCTACCGTGTGACGTTTGTCGGACAGTGACGTTTTTTGTTGTGTTGTGTCGTGCAGGTTCTCCTTTTTTTTTGTCGACCGGTTCCGATTCGTGTTTCTCGTCACCGCTCTGGGGGGGGGGGGGGGAAGCATGTAGTGCCTGCAATTTGGTTGCGCTTTCCCTACGACAGCTGATTGTTTACGTTTCTGAAGGTCGCGCCGCCTCGAGATTCTCTCGGCACTGGCTCGCGGCGCGGTGTCAGCGTTCGGCTATTTTATTCGTTTCGCTCGTTTTTATGTGATGTGTGTGTAAAGTAAATATAACCTAAATTGTGTTAAACCTTTTACCGATCCACGCACAACATTTCCACTTTTGACACACCATGCACACGAAAGCGTGCGACATCTTACGGAGCTGTACTGGCCACTGGGTACAGTCAGTGGCCAGTCTCGGGAAGTAGGTGCTGCTCCGAGCCGTCCCAGCTGCATTGTCCGATCCGGAACTGGCGCACATCAGCCGCAGCGAGACGGTTTTCCATCAATCTAGCCCGGTAAAAAGGACCCCGGTAACGTTACTGCGCCCGGGCCCCGGCCAGACAGTGGCTGGGAGCTCTGGTGATGGCGACATCCTCGATCGCTATTTCTTCTTGATCGAAAATTGATGGCGCGGCGCTATCTTCCGTGACGAATTATCTGCCCGGTCGTCGTCCGAGAGGCGGCAGATTGAGATGGGCCAATCCCGATACCACTGCATGTAACGCGCTGCTTGGGCCTACCAATGCAGTGCAGCTGGCAAGTGGCACACCAAATGCCGTCGCCACCAACCACCTCTGCGTTGCGGAACTTCCCTCTCTGAAACCGTCTATGCGGCTCCAAGAACTGTCCCGCATGGCAGACGTTTTTAGTCACTGTGGGCACTTGGGCAGACGCATGTTTATCATGGGGCATTGCTCGGTGCGATTGCCTAGCAAGACAATCAGTTTTTGGATCGTGGCCCTACGGGTGTGCATTATGATCTATTCGAAATTGCTACCCTTGCTTTCAATCTCCATGTAAAAAGGTATTGTCTTTTTCACATTTTTATTCGAGTTGCATTCTGAATGAGAATTGAGATTTATGGTCTGTATATCTATGTTTATGCTCATCTTCCATCACAAACTTGTGATTACAAATTAGTGGTGGCATCTATCAGGTTCTGGTATAATTTCTATGATAATTTTTCTCTACTGCATTCTGCAATATCCTAGTTAGTTTGAATGATTCGGTATAAATTTACCAAAAAGAGACTCAGTGATTTTCGTGTAAGTTTTGATTTGATGGGCAAAAATATGATCCTCAAGTTTGAAAACATTTTTTTTCAGCTGCTTATTACATATTTTTATCCTATCTACTAGTTTTCTCTACAGTATATAGTTTTTTCTTATTTTCTTCTGTCAAAAATTTTCAGTTCAGCAATGTTTTTCCTAGAGGTTCTTTTCTAAATTTCCTTCATTTTATTTAGGAAATAAGATTTGTCATGAAATTACAATTGTTTATAAAAAAAATTACCTGCAGCAAAAAGTGTGCTAGTATCCATCTGGCACCTAAACAAACAACTAGAATAAGGGGCATTTCCGGCGCCCGGCGAGTGCTGTCGGGTTTCTGTGTTGATTGCTTGTGAAAATGGCGTCCGATGGGGATGGAGCAGCAAAGAAACTCGATAAGCTGAGAGTTGTTGATATTAAATCAGAACTTAGCAAAAGAGAGCTCGATGTTAAAGGCGTCAAGTCTGTGCTTGTTGAGCGGCTGAGGAAGGTAAGTTTTGGAGTCCGATCGCCATTTTACCCCAAGGACGCCATTCCAATTCGTGAATGTTCGATTTCGGGGTGGTATTTCTGATGCGTTTCATCTTATCAATCTTTTTGCTTGATGGAAATGGCTAAAAGGGTGCAAGGAAAGATGTGGATATTTGTGGCCCGACTAATTTTTTGCTTAATAGGTATATGTGAGACAAATTTGGCGCATGCACCTGGGCTCTGTTTTAGGGATGACGGAGAAAACAGGGCGCCTGGGGCGATTTGATCAATGTTTGTGAAATTCACATGTGACATTTAGGCAGCATGTAGTAGGCCCACGGAGGGGGAGAAGTTCCGAATGTCACGTGACTAATATGCCTTCCGGCGCCTTGTTTTCATCGGCGTTCTGTTTTAGGGGCCTTACTAACAACTCGATAAAATCAGCTGGCTTGCCAACTGGCGATGTACGATAGCTATGGCGTTTATTAATATAAACATGGTAGTAGATGGACATGAACACATAAGTGGCATTCATAGATAAATTGATAGATAGGTATTAAGCCATTTATATCTAGCATTGATATATTGTGGTAACAAGCCCTACTAGTACCACCATACAGCGCCAGCTGGCAAGTTATCCAGTAAATACTACGGCCCTGTTTCAGAGCTTGATGACCTGATGCCACCAGGCACTGACACCAAATTTGTGTGAATCTGCCAGCACAATATATATTTTTGCCTATATTTTTATGGAAAAGGATGTTGATGTCCAGGAGTGTCAGGCAGCAGCGCAATATGAAATGGAGCCCTTGAATTTCTGTTCTGTTGACTGTCAGTGTGCTAGATTTTGTGCATTTTGAAGCTATGGGTGAAATCCTCTTTTTGTGCCCAAGGCTTATTAATGATAAATGACACCAGGCCATATTGTCATAAAAGAATAAAAATTATATAGGTATTACATTCTGCTATTGTTATCACTTATCAGATATCGCACTATGCGATGCTAAATAAAATGATGATGATAAGCCTAGAAAATTGCAAACAATCATTTACACTTAAAGAAGCAGGTACACTACAAGCAGAAATAACAAAACCTAATTTAACCTGACCTAGCCTTACCTAACATAACCTCACCTTACTGGAATCAGTGGGTGGTTGGGTGTAACTTACAAATGTTTTGTGGAAAATTATCTAAGTATATAAAGTATGTTAAGTAAGTAGCATAAAAAGTAAGTAATTCCAATTAAACATGTTATGCCTTCTTTAATTGGTTTGATTTCTTTATCTTCAAGTTATTTGCTTATTTTGGGGCTGGAGTTGCAATATTTATAATTATTGCTGTAGATTTTCACTTTTCAGATGGAGATGGTTAACTGTAATTATCTACCTTGCAGGCTCTTGAAGATGAAGGGGTTAATCCAGATGAATATACATTCAACACTGATGAGAAGACCCCCAGAAAATCAAGTATGTCAACTTTATAGCCATTGCTGATCATCATGAACAGCTGAGATAGTGATTCAGTTATCAAGCTGCATTTCATTAAATGATGAACATGTTTTGGAATTTCCTGTCATTTTATCTGCTATGATTTCCTAGCCTTTTTATTTACAAAATTTTGTGCACCTTTTCATAATTGTATATTTGGTATAGCTTGTTGTTGTGAATTAAACTTTGTTATTTTATTTTCAGAATAAGTGCATAATGTATGTTTTTGATCCCAAATTTTTAATGTTGTTAAGTTTTTTTACCCATTTGTACTTTTCCAGGAGGTGAATCTAAAGATCAAGGGGAAGGTGATGATGCAGATGACAGTGTTATGGAGTCGAGTCAAGAGGTAGGAGAAGAGTCTGAAGGTGGTGCCGTTAAAGAAGAAAAAATGGACACATCTGAGGCAGAAACTACCTCAGCAGCCCCAGAGAAGGTCACAAAAGATGAGGCTGACAAGAAGGAAGCACCCAAGAAAGCTGATGAGGGAAACAAGGAGAATGCAGAGGAAGCCGCTCCTGAGAAACCAGCAAACTCTGAGCAGAAGAAGACTGATGAAAAGTCTGCTGAAATAGTAGATGAACAGCCACCTGAAAATGTAGAATCCAAAGCAGAAGTGAAAGATGCCAAAGAAGAGAAACCAGCATCAGAGAGCAAGGCTGACAAGCCAGCGGCTTCTGAAAAGGCAGAGCCAGAGAAAAAAGCTGCTGAAAACCCCAAGGAGGTTAGTGAAATAATAATTTAACCATGGTATATCATAATCAAGTATTTTTTATATATTCACTTCAGTAGGTTGTAAACTTGTGGCTGTAGGTATTTCACTTCTTTGGGCAAAGTGAAGGATTGTGTTAGACTATTCAAGTCATTATGATGAGTACCTATGCATATTCTGTATACATTTTGGGTTCTGCTAAATCATTCCAACTGCTACATTTACATTCACAGGAGACAGATGAGCAGGAAGGAGATTCACTTAACATCACCTTGGATGAAGATGACCAAAACCTGTTCAAGGAGGTAAATGAGCACAAATGAAAATACATGTTTCTTGTTTGATTATTGGGTGTTTCATGATTCTTTTTCATTTTATAATAAGTTCACACTTCTTCTGATCATGCCTAAGGTAATAAAGTTTATTGCACTTGACAAATACATTCATTGAACCAATTTCAATATGCCAGGTTTATTATCAGTGGCAAGGTATAAGACTTTTGTATCTGCTGTGCATGATGTGTGGCTGTGTATGATATTGGATTGAATGTAATGCTGTTGACCATGACTCTATGCTCTATGAGGTTTGCTGTTTTGATTGACAAATTCTGAAAGACAACTAATTTAAGCTATTTTTCTTTCAGGATGACAATGGCCCAGCAACAGAGAAAGGTATGTTGTTTATTTGTTGTTCATCCAGATAAATGGCATCCCATGAATGCTTTTTTCGATTAATTGTTATTTTGAAATAAAACATAACTTCCACAATTTTCTACACTAGAAGTGATTTTACTGAAATAATTGTGTGTATTTTGGGGCATCTAGCAATGATGCGTTTTGTATTCGCGATTGGGAAGCCAGTGAACATAGCCTATTTAATCAGTGCTGTCACTAAGAAACACAACTTGCTGGATACTATGTTATAGTTACAGCCACTACTGCCTTTTTGGAAAAGCCTTGGTAACACAGAATTCCCGTCTTCCTGCCGATTCTCGCATAATTAATAATTGCACACAACAACTCGGACCCGCTCAATCATGCACGGAACCCAGTTCAGAGTCGGCCGGGTGTTCTGTTGCTGCTCTCATGTGTGGTGGATGTGCCGACCAGGCACGGCCGAGCTCCCGGAAACGATGGAGTGAGCGAGAGAGTGAGAGCGGCCTCGCGTCTCGCGCGTTTGTGACGTCACTGACCGCCGCCCGGTCCGCCCGACTGCGCCCAGCCGTGCCCAGCAACGAACGATGGTGTGGTTTGCAAGGGAGACTGCTGAAGTAGCATCGCACAGTGTCGACGCCTAATGTGATACCACGAACAGCTTGTCTGATATGTATCGCGCTACACCGAAGATGATGGGTGAGAATATGCCAAGTTTAGGGGCGAGGATGCATCAAGTTAAAGGACTTTGTGGGGAGAGGAAACATACCAGATATAATGCTATCATGCAGCTTGGATAAACTGGCCATGGTCGGTGCCCTCGGTTTTGCCCTCTGCTGTCTTCCATCTCCGGCCTACCAGCTGTCGGTCAAATCAGCCGGGGGTCGGTTTATTTTGCCCATCAGCTGTATCGCCTGTATCTCTCTTCATTCGGCCGAAACAGGGTCGGTAGAGAAACCCAAGCCTGAGACTGTCCAATGAAGAGGTTGCCTGCTACCACAAGTTGAAGATCTAGCTTGATGCGGAATACATTTTGAATGACAAATGCCAATGCCGATGGTTTAAATGATAATGTCCCCGGATCACCTTGCTTACATAGCTGGACATTTTTGAACCGCAATATGAAAGATTCACGAGTATGGGTCCGCTAGTGCCCTTGAAATACCCAGTCGAGCTCACTCAAGCAGTCATAGCAGTAGTAAGGGAATGCGAAGTGAATTGAAGTGCGCATGCGATTCAGCGAAGAAATGGCGCTCAGAAAAGCTGTCAGAAACGAAAAGGACTGGCGCGTGCGCGAGGGCCGGCTTCCGCGCTGGGCGGCCGGACTTGGTGACGTCACAGGCGTGCGAGCGCGGCCGTTGGGCGCGGCTCCAGTACCGGCACTGTCTGTGTCGTGTGTTCACAGCGGCGCCAGAGCCCGGGTCGCCGCCGCGTCCCGAGTCGGTGCCCGTGGTGCGTCCGTTCACCGTTCAGGACACCATTCAGCTGGCCACCGTCTCGGCCAGCCGGCGAAAGGCCGATGACACCTCTATGATTGTTAATGTAGATGCCCTGAGCGAACGCACCGATCCCGAACTGGTCGTCAACGGCGCCGCCGGCGACACTGATCCCCCAGGCGCCAAGTCGGAAGCCAAGTCCGCGAGTGGCTCGTCGGCGACGTCGGCCGCCGCCGGCCGCGGCACCGCCGAGCCGGCCTCCAGCGGTAAGGCAGACGACACGCCCGCCGGCGACTCCGCAGCCGCCGCCAGCGCCGACGCCTCGGCAGCCGGGGAGAAGTCCGAGCAGCCTTCGAGCGACGCCGCCGGGGAGGCAGCAGCCAAGACCGACGGCGACGCCAAGACGACAACGGCAGCCGCCGACGGCGCCGAGGGGAAAAAGGAAGACGGCGACAGGTTGGTTGTCCGGGCAGCGCACTGAGGTGTGTCTGCGTCCGGCCGCGCGCTCGCGGGTGTCCGCTACTAGTGTGTCGTGTGGTGCGTGCTGGGGAAAGACGCGCCGCTGGGTTGTGCGGGCCATGGGTGGGTGCGCGGGGCACGGTCGCTCGCGGCGCTCACGGGAGCACCTCGCACGGGTCGCCGGGTGGGGTATTGATGTCGGTCGGTGTATATGGAAAGCCCCGGGCAGGCCGGTAGAGGGAGGGTCCCCGACGCCTCCCCTGCCATGAGCCACGGGCGCGGCGTCCGGCGCTCCAACTGACGTCCCAGGAACCAGGTGGAGTTGGTGAGCTGTCGGCAGCAGCTCGCGACTTCCCAGCTAGTCAGCGGTGCCGGGCGCCATCCCGAGCGCAGCAGCGGCAGCAGCAGTGACAGCAGTAGCGGCGGCACGGGACCAGCCATCGGCAGAGCAGTACGACCGACTCCTGTCTTCACCGCGCCTACCCCGGCGGCTAAGCCACCCCCAGCCCTGCGATCCGTCCCCACCAATCGCAGACGGCCTGTCCCGGGGCGACTAGTATTTTGCGTATTTGTTTTTGGATATTTCAGTTATGAGATATAATTAAGATATCTTTATTTCCAACTAACATCTTTGATAGCTAAGAATGCGCTTTAGAGCACTGCCGCATCGATTTTACTGACGGGCGCCGTGTAATTTCAGCAAGCCGGCCACAGACGCAGAGAAAAAAGCCGCAGAGGAGAAAGGTGAGTGGCGGGGGCACGGCTTTTCCGGTTTCACATACGGTGTCTCGGGTGGCGGACGCGCCCAAGATAGTCAGACTCAGAACTGCTGTGCACTTAGCACCTGATGTTTCTCATCTCATCACCGTTGATAACTGGGCGGATGCGGCAGTGGCGTTCCCACCGTTAGAAATCGTATAAATGGGCAGATGGTTTTGCGAACACTCACTTCCCGTAGGAGACTAGGGGGCGTGTGAGAAGTCTGAGATCACTGCAGCTGGTCTCTGTGTTGTACCATTTCCTGTCGGAAACAGCGTGGGAAAGTTGGATTGTGGAAGGATTAGATGACCTGGTCATTAGGGAGAGCTGCGTTGTGGTATAGCAACTTTTTTAATGAAGTCTGTTAAATCCTATCTGTTTTCTACCATTGTGTCGTCGTTTTCACGCATCTTTCCGCTTTGGCAGCCATAAAACCGGCTGTCATTGACAACGTGTTCTTTTACAGAGAAAAACAAGGCTAACCGCAACCTATGGGTGAGCGGCCTGTCCTCGATGACTCGCGCCACCGACCTGAAGACGGCCTTCTCCAAGTTCGGCAAGGTGATCGGCGCCAAGATCGTGACAAACGCGCGCACACCGGGCGCGCGTTGCTATGGCTACATCACCATGGCAACCACTGATGACGCCACCAAGTGCATCGGCAACCTGCACAAGACGGAGCTGCACGGCCGGATCATTAACGTCGAGCGGGTCAGTAATGATTAGCGATGGTAGAGGCGTTGGTAAATTGATCTCAACGATGCTGATGGGAGCAGTCTGCCCCCAGAAACTGATAACATTTGCCGAATTTCTCGTTAAAACGGCGCTGTATAATGTGTGATGCTGTCTATTATGCATTTCAGATCCTGTGGAACAGTCCTTTTCGGCTATTTCTCTTTGTATATGCGTTTGATTTCTACGAAATTTTGGCATTGGTAGTTTGAGATCCCTACCTAATTTTTATCAATATGGTCTATTAACAAAAAATGAAAAATAAGGGCACTTGTCATTGAATGATAATGTTAAGGTCGTCAGAGGCCTGCTTAGAGGCTGACAAAGACTGGGCGCCGTCTCCCCTCTGATTGGTCGTGACGCACTGGCACGCTGCGGCTAGGCTCCGCCCACCTGCGGTCCAGCCTCGGGTCATGTCGGCGGCAGTCGCATTCTGGCCGGCCGGCGTGCGGGCGGTGCGCGCGGCGCAGCGGAGTGGCGCACTTGTTTGCATGTCATGAACTTTAAAATAAGCTGTTCAACGACTAATAAGGACGGAGGAAGGAAGAAAAAGGAATAGGAGACAAAGTAACAATGAGACGAACGGTAGACGGTGGATACTGGATAGTGGAAGCAAACAGTATGCATAAACTCTAGAGCAGAGACAGGAGACAAAGACGGCAGACGCGAAAGACAGAGACAAAGATGGTAGACCAGAGATAAGTGACGGAGATAAAGATTATATGTAGACGAGAGACTGACAAGGGGGCATGAAGGATGGGAGATCATTAACTCTCTATATTGCATATCTACATTTTCAGATTGAGTCATCCTATCTTTCCCTGTTTTATTGTTTTTCGGCCTTAAGATCTATCAACAATATCCTTAAAGCATGGTGTACCTAAAGATTATGGAAATATTGAATATTTTTACCCCAAAAATAATAAAATTGTATTCTCAAAAAATAAAAACAAACAAACTACGACTTACGAGTACATACGTAGATATCCTCAATTAAATAAGGCCTTTGAATGTCACCCTACGCACGTAGATTCTGTCTCGTTACTCTTTAAATGCGCCATAGTCTGTAGGAAAACAGGGCAGCGGAGAAGCTCGCTATAAATTATTGAAAATGACTCTTTTAATTTTGTAGGAATAACATTCTGGCGCTTAATCTTAATCTGTAGCTGTGCTAATCGTTTTATACATACATCGATCTTCATTGCATTTTTCATCCTTATTCTCTCCGCGCGAGATACAATATTCACGCAAGGATACCTGCGTTAGCGCGTGTCTTGGACCAGTCCGTCAGAGCTCCGCACCGCTCTGACCCCGAGCGGCGAATGACCGGTCTCGGTGTCGCGGCGCTGTGGGCGGAGCTTAGCTGCGGCGCAACAGCTGACGCTGCTACGCCATGCTAGCCTCTACCATGGCGCAGAGTTTTCTGATCATTTTTTACCATTACAAGTCAATGACAAGTGCCTTTCATTTGGATATTTTGTTAAAAGACCATGTTAGTAAAAATTAGGTAGGGCCTTGAAACTCATTGTGTCAAAGTTTGGTTGAAATCAAACTTATAGGTAACGAGAAAGAGCCAAAAAGGACTGTTCCAGAGGGTCTGAAATGCATAGTAGTTGGTATGGCCATTTGTATTCACTGGTCGTCTCCGTTCCACAGGCTAAGAGCGACAGCAGCGTGCCGGACCGCCGCGCGGACGACCGTCACCGCGACCACCGGCGTACTGACTACCGCCGGCGGGCAGAGGACACCCGCCGGCGCGACGAGCGGCCGCGCCGTGACGCCTCCGCCGACGCCAAGCCGGCCGGAGACGGCGCCGACGCGCCTGCCGCCGAGGGAGAGGCCGCCGCCGGAGAGGGCGGTGACGCCGCGGCGAAGGAGGGCAACGCCCCGGGCCGCGCCAACGACCGTCCCAACGACCGACCGGCCAGCCGGCGCCGCGACAACGACGTAGGCCGCCGGCCGCCGCCGCGCGACCAGCGAGGGGACAACCGACGGCCGCAGCGTGGAGTGCTCACCTTCCAGCAGATCAAGGAGGAGCGCGAGCGACAGCGGCGCCGAGAGATTGAGCGCGAGGAGCGCGAGGCGGAGCGCCGTCGGCGGGACGAGATCGCCCGCGCGCGCGAGCAGGACCGGCGCAACCGCGAGGAGGCCATGAAGCTGGAGAGGTGAGTGGTCCATCCCAGTATCGTGCCAGCGCTGTTTTCTCACAGTGCGATGCGTTTTGAAAAGATTCACTTCCCTGTTGCCCGGTCCATTCATGATCTGTCCCGGCAATTCAGAATAAGTTTTGTGAAATGTCTTCACCTTTGGCTTATGATTATACCTGATTGGTCGACTGGGATGTTGACTACTTTAGACGGGGACTGCGTTGACTACTTGGAAATGTGCCCCGCGATCTAACAATGTGATTTCACCCGACGCTGACCGTGAGTGTTTTTGTGCCAGGGAGCGTGAGCGTCTCCGGATCGAGCGCGAGCGTATCGAGCGTGACAAGGCCGAGCTGCTGCGTCTGGAGCGCGAGCGGCAGCGCGCCGAGCGCGAGAAGCTGGAGCGTGAGCGCGAGGAGCTGCGCCGCGCCGCCATGCGCATCCAGGACGCCAAGCGCAACATCAAGCGGCCCGCCGAGGAGCCGGCCGCCTACCCGGAACGGAAGCGGCCGGCGCCGGCGCCCGCCCCCGTGGCCGCGTCGCGCACCAGCTCTCACTACGACGACCGACGCTACGCCACGTCCCGCGACTCTGGCCGCGCGCCGGCCGGTGGCGCGCGCGATTATGGCCGCGCCGAGGACCGCCGCGTGAGCGAGCGATCAGAGCGGTACGAGGCGGCGCCGCGGCGCGAGTACGACCGGCGCGACTACCGCGAGCCGGCCCGCTCCTCCCGCGACCTGTACGACTCGAAAGGTACGCGTCGCCTATAACGGCGCTGGGATGGCGGTGAAAGGGGGCACCGACGACTAACTTATTTCAAATGGTGTGTCTTGATCGGATAAAGGATGCTCGCTCAAATTAACGTAATCCATTATTTTCTTACTACTCTGCTTGCCTTCTCACACCAACTGTCACAATAACTAAAATATTTTGATGAGCTTCCCATGAAAAATACTTGTAACTTTAGTCTGGCAAACCTAAGAAAGAACGGATTTAATAAGCGCATCCGCAGTTGCAGATGCACGTACCTTTATACTGCCTCAAATATGCCCGAGAACTGATTTCTTCCGCGACTTTTCACACAAATGTTATCCGAACCATACATGGATTACTAGTGATCAAACACGTGCAAAGTGATTCCGGCACTTAAACTCCATTCTTTCTAAGGTTTGCTAGACTATAGTTCTTACGGCTCGGAGCATCTGTCATGCATTTGGATCTGGAACCTTTTGCTGCGTTCCTGCCTACCTTGGCGTTTATCGTTTTGTCTGCCCGGTTCTGTTTTGTGTGACCATCGTATTGTTCGTGCCGACAGGGACGGGCTCGAGCCGTCAGTACGGGGACAGCCGCTCGGGCGGCTCTTGGCACACGGCCAGCTCCTCACACGGTCTGGGAAACGGACAGGCGGCCCCTCAGAGAGATACTTGGGGGGCCGCTATGGACCGCAAAACGGACTCAAGCCAGCAGTGGGGCCGCGCCGGCGGTTCTAGCGAGACCGGCTCGCGCTCGACATCACGGTGAGTCATGATGGGCTTTACATTTATTATCTTATAATTTATTAATAAATAATGTCAATTTTTTATAATTTTTTATGGATCGTTGAGTCGTAATTAATATGAAATCGTCGAACCATATGAGCCTGAAAATGATGTCGCTAAGGATCGCTTCCTTTGGTGTTAAATGCGAACGCTACATTTGTGATCGCCATTCGACAGTACACACGCGTGCGGCTGGCGTAGTTGGTGAATCAACCTCATTGACAGTTGATGTGGAACTCCACATCTTTTCTATATATCCTGTTCTTTGAGATGTTACCGGGTATTTGCTTTTCCGGCATTTGCCTATACGCACGACAGCAGATAGCTCATCAGCTAGCAGATAGCCGATAGCCTACTATCCCCATCCCCGTGACTAATTAGCTGATCACCCTTCCGTCTACCGTGCTGACTCCCCTCCCCCGGCCCCGTCCGTCAGGTGGGGCAGCAGCAGCGCTCTGAGCCGCCAGCCGACGGCCAGCAGCCTGTCGGCCGTCGGCGGCTTCATGAGCAGCTCGCTGAACCCCTCGCTGGGCGTCAGCAGCCTGATGCAGCCGGCCGTCTTTGGCTCGGCCCCGGACAGATTCGACGCCTACAAGATGCACGGCTCGCTGCCACGCCGCTACTGAGACTACCGGCGCGTCCGCAGCGTCCGCGCGACGGGCCGAGTGCTTGCGAGTGCAGAGTGATTGATAATGGAGTGAGAGGATGTCAGTAATCAGTGAATGCGGGGACAGGCAGCCACCGACCGCCAGTCTGCCCGAGTCTGTCAGGATGGATGGACGGTGTGCGTGAGCTCTTATTTAGCTAGGATCTCGGGGTCGCCGGCGTCAGGAGCAACTGGCCGAATGGTGGTGCGAGTGTCGAGAGAGTGTTGAATGCTTCACCATTATAGCAGGCATCACGGGGCGCCTGCGAGGGCCCTGCGGCGGAGCGCGGGCCCAGCGGCCGCCTACCATAATCAGTGTGGTTTCACAGGTCGACTTTAGTTATTACTCTTCTTTGGGAGCGGACGTAGTACAATGTTCGTCTTGTGATGTAACGCTTCAATACATGTCGCGGAGCTACAAGCTATTCTTTAAAGGTATTTTGATGTCGAATCCCGTCAACTGATTACTATGCCCACGGGAAACTGGTAACCTGCTCGTCGATACGGGACGGTTTTTGGAGAATCATAAGCTCGTTTTATGAAGGCAATGGGTCTGTAATAGTGCTGCGAACGTTCTATGGTGCATGGATGAATAGCGTTCCCGATCAAAGTTTTTTTTTTATTAACTAGGATTTAGCGAGCGATGGCAGGATTCCGACATAAATGCCTGGGAGTTAATAGCAGGAAGATGCAGCTACCGTTCTACTTCTCTTCATGAGACGGGACACGTAGATCAAGGCTTTCCGAACTCTGACTGGGACAACTGAACAGCGGGATGCCTCACGCATTGCACTGTGGTGCTCTGTGGCTGCAGTGGCTCGCTATAGGTGCCAAAATTCCGCTTTGCAGTGTCTAAGGCGTAAGAATCTTGTCCAAGGCCATCTATACTCTATAGAACGGTTATCTGGTTTGATCATGGATGTGGCATGGCGGGTACTTTAGCAAAGAAGAACACCAATGATGCACTTTGACTTCTGCCGCAGGTGTGACATGAGGTGGCGCTTTTATTCCCCGACGGCATCATGCATTTCATTTTTTCATTTTTGATTTGTTTTCAGCGCGCGCTGCTGGTGGTGAGTCCTCGATTTCGATCTATTTCTGGCGAGGTTATAAATATTAGGAGTATGAAACGTTTTTATTTTATTTTTCTTTATCAAGTTTAGTCCGTAACTTAAGAACTTCTTTCTTCCGTGAATGAGCTATTTCCACTGGCAGAAGGGACAATGAAAATGCCACGGTGATTATAAGAAAATGCCATCGCCCCCTCCCAAGCAAGATTACCCCCCCCCCCAAGAAAATGTATTTGATCAGTTCAAGACATTGTAGAAATTGAGGAGTATGACAGCTATTGTTACCCAGGTCGAGATAAATATCCAGGGGACAGGGGTGACCGATCGGGAGAGGTATAGCATCGGGGCCCGCAGCGGCGCCTGCCACTGAATTACCAAAAACTGTATAATACTAATTGAAAAAGCAATAGCCTACATAGTTTTATAATTAACATGCTTCCAAATGAAAAACTAATGATGTAAAAAAGTGTTGCAATTTGTGTTGAGCTAAATACCCTCAGGACACCCGCCACGTCCCCCGAGCATTCATCTTATCTTCCCTTGGATATCCAAGGGAAGAGCTTTGGGGGATTAATTTCCCAGCTGAAAGCAATATGCTGTCCTGTGGAGTGACAAATGGGGATGCCAGCTGCCACAGCATTTTCAAATCACTACCCAAGGATGTGAACAGTGAAAGACACAGGATGTTGTGTTCAACTTTCACTATAATATGCACCCAAATCATACCTACTAGTGTGCCTAGGAAAATGATAAGAAAAACTGCAAGTTTGAACATATAAGGCCAAGGGCTCTCCACACAATAACTAATTTACTTAACCTTGTATTTTTATCTCTCCATTTCCAACCAAAAAGCTGCCTTTTGCAAACTTAGCCATAATAACCAATCTATAATTGCATGTTAAGATGCTTAAAATAATCACACTGTCATGGAGGAATACTTGATCCATAATAGTATACAGCTTATCCAAAGAAACCACCATTTTTGCTGCAGTGCCCAAAGTGTCAGCAGTCAGCTAGTGCACAAGACTTCACTCTGATGCCTGCCAACTCTTCTGAACCCTCAATGGAGCCCAAGGCAGTGGCCACTCACGTCATATTTGACGTGGACGGGCTGCTGCTGAATACGGAGACCCTATACACCAAGACCACTGACCGTGTGGTGGGCCAGTTTGGCAAGAAGTTCACCTGGGAGATGAAGCTGTCGCAGATGGGGATGAAGGGCTCCGAGGCGGCGGCGCGCATCATCGAGCAGCTGGAGCTACCGCTGACGTCCGAGGAGTACCTGCGCCAGTCGGCGCGCATCTGGGAGGAGCTGTTCCCGTCTGCCGAGCTGATGCCGGGCGCCGAGCGGCTGGTGCGCCACCTGCACAAACACCGCGTCCCCATAGCGCTCGCCTCGGGCGGCAGCGCGCCCAACTTCGAGCTCAAGACCAGCCGGCACGACGAGTTCTTCTCATTGTTCTCGCACGTCGTGCTGGCCTCCTCCGACCCGGCTGTGAAGAACGGCAAGCCGGCACCGGACGTGTACCAGATCGCCGCCGAGCGTTTTGCGCAGCCGCCGGCGCGGCCCGAGGACGTACTGACGTTCGAGGACGCGCCCAACGGGGTGCTGTCGGCGCGCGCCGCCGGCATGCACTGCGTGATGGTGCCGGACGCCCGGATGCCTGAGGAGAAGAAGAAGGAGGCCACCCTGGTGCTGTCCTCGCTGGAGGACTTCCGGCCGGAGATGTTCGGACTCCCGGCCTATGATGCGTAGGGTTCAGAGGGCGGCTGAATAGGAGGTAAGGTAGGAGGCGCTACACTGAAAAGTAGTGTAGCGCCCAGTACTGTGTAACTGGTTCAGCTATGTGAGGGGACGAGTAAATTACTATAGGTCCTTGATTTCGACTCTCACTCGTTTTATCGCAAGTGATAACTGTAAGAGTGCGAAACATTTTGTAAAGTGAAGCTGTTTGGGAAAAGTGGAAAGCGTTGAACTTACCTGTATCCCACCATGACCTTATGCCAAGCATGTACTCAGGTTAGAAGTATAAGGCAGGTATATTTCATCTAACATACGATTGCTTACATTCAATGCTTTTGTTAAGCTCTCATTTTCTTGTTCGTAAGTTTTTGATACTAAGATTTAAGCCAGGTGAATGGCCAAATGTGACATGGATGTAGGCTGGTTTTCATGACGTTGAAATGCTTTTGCATCGTCAGTGTCCACGCGTTTCTTTTTCGCTCACCCGGCAATTCGCCTGCCTGCTTGTCATAAATTCTGTTTCAGTTTACTGATCAACTTTGCTCGCGATGCTAGTTTGGTTCAGCAACGCGTTATACGATCAACTTTGCACATTTGGAAGTGTATTTTTGTAACGTGACGAGCAAAAATAAAATGTTTTTGGGCATGCCTTGTACACGTGGATTCTCGGACCCGCTGAAACGCTGGAACGACTACTTATGAAGTGTGTAGAGTGCTGATGTAGCGTCGCAATGACTTTTCATCGAACGAAGCCTAAATTTCTCCGACATTGCCAAACTGTCCGTTGTCGAACTATGTGGCCACCGAAGTCAAGTGTTGGCGTGCTCTGAACGTCGTCGATTAAATATTCAACACGTGTCACTGGTGCAAAGTCCGCTGATATGATCATGGGGCCCTTCTAAGCTCACATGTTCTCCAATGCAACTTGCAAGGATCCAGTATGCGTTATGTTCGAACCGTCTATATGGTAGGTAATCGTATTAGTGCATAGCAACCCATTATCGCACATTGAACCTCAAATGCTAATCTCAACTCAATGCTCATCTGAATTTCATATTCGAGAGTTTATATGCGTTAGCCTATTCAGTAAATGCTACAATGGTGAGCTAACAGTTATATCGATCGAAAATAAGCTCAGTAATTAAAGCTCTGTCGAGAGGCCAAATTATTCAAGTGCTTTACAAGACTATCTATCTCCCTATCAGCTTGACAAGACACCCATATCTACCCGACTACACGGGTGACTTCAACGTCTGCCTATCGTCGCCGCGCAGACCTGCGGCTCAGTTGCGCCGTCGTCACTCATGGCACGCGGACTGGGCGGGGCCGGGGACAGCGGGGTCAAGGTCACGATCCTCGCGTCTGATAACCGTCTGTCTCCGGGCGGCTGCCGGCTGATAACGGTGTCAGATGACCAGTGGTGGGGCCTCTGCGGGGGGGGGGGCGGGGAGCGGTGAGCGCGCCGTGAGAGGCGCAGAGGGATCCAGAGGGCTGGGGTGTGGGATTGGTCCTGCGTGTCTGCTGCGGAAGGTGAGCTGGTGTGGTTTTACTAGATCGGTGAGATTGGTAGACGTTAGCGAAGTGACGTAGTCGAGCCATCACTGGTGTGCGCACAAAGTGCCTGTGCGTGAGGAACATCGCGATCAGCGCTGGTCGGTTTGCTAATAACATTTTCAGTCTTGTGTTATACCTATTCGTGTGTCGTCGAGATAAATTGCTTTGAACGGAATACTGATCCGGAACTCTAGTTCATAAAGGTATTATTATACTGTTTTGTAATAAGGGAGTGTCGTTTATTCTCAGAATGACTTGCCTAATGCCTTTATTTTGCGTCGCCCCATTCGCTATGTAGCTCGCCACGCAGCTCCTCTAACTAGCTGGATAAGCATTTCAAACATTCGAGTTTATTGTTCATTGAATGAGGCAACTCTCTGCAATAAACGAACAGACCATTATCTTGAGTGCACAGTAGGTACATACGGTCATGCTCAGGTATGCCCCCACGGAAACGAGTGGATGCGAAACGCAGGCACGAGATCTTGTTGCGGAAGCTAAAAATGAAAATGAACGTGGTAACTTCCCCAGTAAGCAACATGATGGTCAAAAGAGACATGGCATAATCCGCATTACAGGAAGGTCTGGAACGCATGTGAAAGAAACACTGGATGACTCGTAAAGCACACGCAGTTACGACGAACACACGAGTGCGCACATGACTCGTAAAACACACGCAGTGACGACGAACACACGAGTGCGCACACCGGGCGCTTGTCGGGTACATGTTGTGCATCACTGGGCGCTAGTAGTCGGTAAGCAGCACATAGGTGGCGCAGAGATACTACAGATCGAGAACATCACGTGCGAACCGTCGGCGACCCCGAGAGGACGGTGGCAGCTCCCGGTCTGAGCGAGGGGTGGTTAGGGAACGCGAGCACGGGTGACAGTGATTCGGGAGACACACCGGTATAGCAGTAGGCTGTCGGTCAGGGGAGTGCGTCCCTGATTCAAGGGCCACAGCTGGAGGGGTCGCCGAGGGCGATGAGGCGGCGTTTGCAGGATCTGGCTCTGGACTGGGGCCCTGCGCGGGGGGCGGAAGTGACTCAGCCTCGTCGGTCTGGGACGGTGGTGTGCCAGTCAGCGAAGACTGAGCAGTGCCAGGTCGCAGCTGTGGGTGGTGCAGACCGTGATCGGCGGGGTGGGGCCTGGGCGCGGGAAGAGGGACAGTAGGTGTCGTGTGCGCGAGGGGTACAAACGAGCGCAAGAACTTCCGATTGCGTAGGGTCATCCGTCGTGATCCGTCGAGCATGATCTGGTATTGCCGAAACGGCAATGCGGCCACCACCACTCCACGGCGGTCCCAGTTTCGAGGGTGGTTGCCCGACTGATTTTGAACCAGCACATGCTGGCCAGCTTTTAGTGGAGGCAGGTCCTTAGTGTGTGCTTGCAGACGCTCATGGTCACGAGAGGTGCGCTTGGCTAGTGCTTTCTCCCTCCAGCATGCGACATCTTGCCACGTCTGGCTGAGATCCTTGTGGTTACGTAGGGGGGGCTGCAGCGGTAGCCCTGGGAGGAAGTCCCGCAACTGTCTCCCGAGGACTAGCTCAGCTGGGGACAAGCCGGTGTCTCTGTCAGGGGTGTTGCGGTGCTGCAAGAGTGCGCGAGTGAGTTTCACAGAGTCGAGGGACCCATCAGCAGTGACGTTGTCCCGTATGAGGCGTTTGGCCGTTTTCACAGCGACCTCAGCACGGCAGTTCGCGTGAGGAAAAGCGACCGATGTGAGGCGGTGGTGGATCCCGTGCTGAACGAGGAAATCCTTTACCTCTTGGGCCATGAACTGAGGCCCACCATCACTTGTGAGTGTTTCGGGGACCCCCAGACCGCGGCAGAGTTCCATGAGGACGTCTTTTAGGCTGATGCCGCGCCAGATCTGAAACCAATTGCTGAATCGGTCAACAACGACCCCGTATGTGTTCCCCATGTACAGGGTGTCTCAAAAGTTCGTTCACACATTTCCCATGCCAATAAAGCATATAAGAACCGGCCAAAAGTATAAGGTTTTGGTGTCTGTGTGTACACTAGACAAATATGCATGCTTTGACAACTGATTAAGAAGGTTGGAAACCAACCCCTTTGCTGTATCTCCAAAAATATTTGCCCATACCGATTTTTGTTGCTCCGTCAGCTGCCGGAGGCTGATAAAAGGTTACCAGCTTTCAAGCTCTTGCAGGGGAATCCCCTGCAGTTTCTGCGTCGGATTTAGTTTTTACTAGCTCCCCGGCAACATCTGATTTTCCCTGAAAGCCGACAGCTTGCATCGACACCATTCTTGAGTATTTTGTAGGCATTCTCTGGCGCTAACTCTGTGGTGTCGCGAGCTGCTCCCCCCCCCTGCCCCGGGGCCTGGCGACGCCAGTTGCTCCCCCCTGCCCGGGGGCCTGGCGACGCCATTGGCGGCGCCGGCGCGCAGACGCGGGGTTCGAGAGCAGTCGGCCGCCGGCCCGCGCGGAGCGCGGTTGTGGCAGTAGCGATCGGTGTTTGGCGCTCTAGGAAGTCTAACGCAATGCGGCTTTGGTTGTGAATAAAGAGCTCACGTTATAACATCCTGGCGACGAGGATCAGATCAAGGTGAAGCCTTTGGAGCTGTGATTGCGAGTGATGGCGAAACGGGCCAGTGATCAGTGCGCGGTGGTCAGCGAGGGCGGACAGGCCACGGACGGTGAGGGCGCAAACGTTGCTTAGTACGAATGCTTAGTGCTTAGTATTGCTTAGTATTTTTATTTTCGCGCTGCTGCTGGTAGTGTGCCTGTCGCGCGGCGGCCGTTGTCCTGGCAGGGTTTCCCATGTGATCGCCGAAATTCGTGGCGGCCATGATGCCTCGGCAGTGTGGTGTGCGTGGCGCATGCGTCGGCGTGCTGCACGTTGATTGGTCGGCCGGGGGTGACGCGCAGCTGTGGCAGCGCGTGTGATTGGCTGATTGGTGCGGCGGAGAGGGCCTCAATGCGGTTTGAGGCGCCTGGTCCCCGAAGCGGGTAATTTCGGCGGGAAGCTGGCGCGCGGCCGGGCGGTGCGGGACGAGTGCGCATGCGCGCGCGGTGACGTGCGTGTGACGTCACTACCACGTGACGCCCCCGTCGAGAAAAGCGCGGGAAACCGCAGCTGCAGCGCCAAGTACAGGCGCAGGGCGGCGCGGTGAGCGGTGACCGGTCGGCGTGAGCGGTGGCCGACCGGCGTGTGCGGTGACCGACCGGCGTGTGCGGTGACCGGCCGGTGTGAGCGGTGACCGGCCGGTGTGAGCGGTGACGCCCGGCTGCGGGCCGACCGGTGGAGCGGCTGCGGGCCGCCGGTGGAGCGGCTGCGGGCCGACGGTGGAGCGGCCGCGGGCCGACGGTGGAGCGGCTGCGGGCCGACGGTGGAGCGGCGGCGAGCCGACCGGAGAAACGACGTGCTGGTGAGAGGGCGGCGGCACGATGGATCCAACGGGGATGCAGATAGTGTCTGCGGTGCCGTACCGTCCAGGCACGGACTTTGAAAAGTGGCTCCGGGCATTGGAGCGGTATATGATCGCTGTTGACATTCAAGGGCCTGCGAGACGGTGTGCAGTCCTGTTGCACCTGGTGGGCCCGGACCTCGCCGATGTCAGCGATTCACTGCCTGAGGAGGACGCCGAGAGACAGGGAGAAGACGAGTTTGCTCGCCTGAAAAGGAAGCTAACACGGTATCTGGTGCCGAAGAATAATGTGGTGGCGGAAAGAGGAAAGTTTCAAGGGATGAAAATGGAGCAGGAAGAGAGTCTGGAGGAGTTCCTGGGCAGACTACGGACGCAAATCCTGCGCTGCGGCTACGAGCCGGCGCAGGTGGACCGTGAGTTGAGAGACCGATGCGTCCTGGGCAGCCGAGGTGAGCTACAGAGGAAGCTGGTCCGGGAGGCGGCGCTAAAGGGTGACGACCTCTCTCTGGAGGACGTCCGGCGGACGGCACGGGCGCACAGGGACGTGATGGATCTGACGACGCGGCTGTCAGGGGCGCCGGCGCCGGCCGAGACGGACGGGGAGGCAGTTCACCTGGTGCGACGCCCGCAGCGGACGGAGAGGGTCAGGCCGACCGAGCCCCCGGGGCCAGGCACGTGCTTCCGCTGTGGCGGCCGGGGCCACTGGC